TAAAAGTCGTATCCTTCAAATTATATTGCAATTTAATAGTGGGCCGATGTTCGACCTACCTATAGAAAACAACAAACACCCCAACTTTGAATGGAGGGGTCAGGGGAGGGTTGTGGATTCTTTTGTTCTCCGAAGTTACCCTAGTTGAGTACAATGTCTCAACAATTTTGTCGCCGATTGTCTGAATCGCAAAAGTAGTCATACACCCTTAAGAAAATTAATTGCAGTCATTTCTTCATGCTGGAATGTAAGACCACTGATGGCTTTTTCTTTGCTATGTTTGACTTCATCATGCCTAAATATATTAATAAGAACAATGTTAAAAGATTTCGCTATTTTCAGAGCGTGACATTTCGTGTCACACTTAACATGGCTTGACATCGTGCATTGTGGCGCATCGTGCACAATTTCTTATTCTCTCCTTTATCAAAACAAATCAAAACAAAGAACAAAGTTAAAAGGATAGAAAACTTAATAGATTTCTAGGCAATAAAGTAGTTATAATGGCTAAAATTGCTCTTTAGGAGGAATTTTCATGAGAAACTATGAGTAAACACGATGAGTATAAAATAAAATAACTAGATTATCTTTTAAAGTTGGTTACTCGTAGTTACTTGTAGCCAGTCTCCTCCTGACCTCATAGTTTCTACTGTCAAAGACCCATATGGGTAATGAATCTACTGCACAGATTTAGCGATCCTATGCAGCTTTGCTGTGTGTTAGAAGCCCGGGGGAAGGGGAGGCACTTATGGAATTTCTAGGTGGGGATGTGCTGCTGGGACCCTGGAACCCTTAACCTATACCAGAGCTAGTTCAGCCGAATTTTGCTAGAGTAAACTCCTTAAATCCCCCCTATCCTAGAGTAACTGTTTTCCAGAAACTACTGAGTTCACTAGCACAGTCTAGCCAAAACAAAACCTTGTAGTCTAGATAAAATCTTCAACCAACTAATCAGTTTCCTGAAAAATGATACCCTATTCTCGACCCAAACGCTCTGATTTATATACCCTATCCTAGAGTAAACTGCTTGAAAACCAGAAAACCATACCCTTCACAGTGGCACATACCTATATAGCCCATATATGGGCTATTTTTCCTGAAAATTCTTTAGCGCATAGCAATCATGGCTATTTTATCGTCCATCACACCATTATGAAATAGGCAAACTTCGAATAATCACTTCGAACTTACTAGGGGCATATTCAAATACAATATAAAAAAAAATTATTATCTGCCATCGATTCCTAATAGTCAGGTCTCTTAGTGCAAAATATAGGCCGGATCGTTACAGACGTGACAAAAGTGTCAAATTTGGCACAGAGCTTCCTTAGCACCTACCGATTAATACTGGAGGGGGTGCCCGTTACAAATGGTCCTAATTACAGATAAAAGGGGGGGTTAACTTTCACCTATAATAGCAGATTGGGTGCCCTGTGGTGAGTACTCTTCTTGTTTGATTTGGCTAAAAAACTTTTGTTTCAAATTTTTAAGTTTTTAATTTGGTAATGTTTAGTTCTTGTTACACTATTCAAAATAGTTTTACATGTACATAATACGGACTAGTGCCCAGTCTCCACACGGTAAATGTGTCCATGTTCACTGTGCGGCCTGTGCGGCTATCAGTGTCACTGCTAAGACTTGCCACTGATAATATCATTACATATCAATTTAAACAGATCACAAAGCCAGCTTTCAAAGATGTCACACAATAACAAAAAACTCAAATGTATCACATCCTAAACGATAGAATCGTGAAAGTTTGACATGCCACATGAACGACCTCATAAACCGTAAATGACAACGCGCCCACTTTGTAATTGTGCAGCTAAGATTAGATTATAATTTGCTTCGTTGGTAATCCTGTCATTGAGATAATGATTAAAACATGTCAAACTCGTCCTCAGGGGGAAAAGGAGGAGAAAGGGTGGCACAGTTGGTTAGTGCGCAGCCTTCGGTGTGCGAGGTCCCGAGTTCGATCCCCGGTGTCAGCACATCCTTATTTCAACTTCTCTCCTTTCTGTGTAGCTTTGACTAGCTCTAAATACCCTTAAAACGGAAAATTAATGGAGAGAGGGGGGTAAAAGGAGCGCACCGTCGACCTCAAGTTTTTTCTACCTTTTTATTAAGCCCTGGGGACGAGGTTGTAAAACATGCCTCTCCAGGAATTTTTAACACTCTTTGTTTTTTACACATTTGCATTTAAAAAGAAGTGTATGAGGTCCCTGCCTAGACACCTGTAAGCAGCTCATTCACTTCAGAGCCCTTGGACCAGAGTGTTAGTGGTAGGTCTATACGATCTTTCAAAACAAAGGAAGGTCGTCGCGTGCGTTACAATTTACAAACAAACTAACTTCAGAGGAGCTGAAATTTACAGGAACAAGGCCTCTTTTAGCCAACCAACGATGCATCATTTATGAAAATGAATGTAATGTGTTTGATGCAATTAGACGAATACCCCGTGGTTACGAAATCTTACGATCATGAATTCCTAAAGAGCAATTCAGTTACCAGCTTTTCACAAAATAATGCTGTGGAAAATTACAGAAAATACCAAAAAAAGCAAGGGTCAACAATAATTATGGCCTGGTCCCTTATAATAATGGAGTGGTCATGATAAAGAAGCCCATCAGTCCCAACTTTGACCACTCAAACAGATTTCTGACAGATTACATACTGCAGAAGGGTGAAGGGTGACCCCACCTATCATGTAAACTTGATCAAATTAAAATGAGAGATTATATGGACAGGCGTGTTACCCCACCTAAGTGGGTTACCATGCCTACCCGGGGTCCCCCTCCTCCATTTAAACAGGTCCTAAAAGTTAGCCCGGCCCCCTTTCTACAGTTTCAGCAGTTAAACCATTCACCATTTATCATTTGAGTCAATCTTGTACCACTTGAGTCTCACTTTTACGACTTGATAAGCTGTTATTATTTTTGGACATGAGTGCTTCAGTGCCAAATGTAGAGGCTTCACGATAAACTGTGCTGTTTTTTGAAGCTTGGGCTAACTTGTTTCTTTTTTTCGTTTATGAGACCAGATTCTTTTTTGTTTGTTTTTGCTTTGTAAAGCTTAGACAAACTGCGGGAATTGTAAATGATATGACTTGTGCCACGGTGCTTGCTTCTCTGTCAAAACATGCACTTGCGTCCAGCAGATAACTGGATAAAGAGAGACTGAAAGGCATCCAGGCCTATGTTAAGCTGAAAAATTAATTACCTCCCTAGGAAAGAACTATTTTGGTTCTGTTATTTCGTTATTTGCTCTTCATGAATAGCTGTCATAAATCCCTGATAATATGTGATACAACAGACTCTTTCACAATTTCTTTTTTCTGAAATTTTGTGTGAATCGCTATGCCATACGCTTTCTTTAGCTTAAAGTGACATGTAATTACAAGTAATACTTGATAAATAAGACTTAAGCCACTCAATAAGGCCTCCTCTAATTGAAGTACATTAGAAAAGGAGAAGAGAACCCCAGAAGCTGAGTACTTGCAAGTTATGAAGCAAAGACGAGGCCATCTTAGAAATGACTTCTGAAAACGTGGGCGGACTGTGGACTTGCTTTAAGGGCACAGTAATAATCAACCTAATTATACAATCAATAAGTTAATAATGGATGGGAATGCCAGATGTTCGAGTGAAATTGTTGTTTGCAACATGAGAATAGCATTCAGGGTGATTTAAGGTATTAAATAACAATTTTCAATCAAAACACCACAGGGACCCCAGCAGGTGAAATTTACAATAATTAAATCCTGTTTAGCACGCTTCAGTGGCATATTTGCATTGGGCACCCCCTCTCTTATTCATGGTACTGCAATAAGCTATCGCTGTGCAAAGTTTGGTGCTTTTGTCAGCTCTGTAACGATCCTGACCTTAAGAGACCTGACTATAATGATCACACTTAGTTACCAGAGGAAAATCAATTGTTTTACCTGGGTATGCTGCGTAATTACTGGAAAACACCATCGAGAACAGAGCTTAGCAAAACTAATTTCCCTTGAAAAACACAGCGGTGGGATTACGGGGTATCCTATCTATCTTCTTAAAAACAACCTGGTGAATATAGTAATCTTAACTAGTTATTGTCTCCTAACCGGTACTAATAGGACAACAGGGTGTAGATTTTGATTCAGACAATCGGCGACAAAATAAGTTGAGACACTTCACCCAAAACTGGGCTTTTCTTTGTTTTACTGGCTTCAAAAGGAGGAAATATAGCTTTTCCTCCCCCATCCCCTCCATGCAATGTTGTGCTAATGTTTGAGCTATCTATAGAAAACAACAAACACCTCAACTTTGAATGGAGGGGTCAGGAGAAGGGTGTTACCCTATTTGGAGTTTTGAGTACAATATCTCAACAATTTTATCGCAGATTGTAGGTCTGGAACCTAAAAATGATATCTCACAACTGTGATAGGTACAAAACAATGAGGGAGATTAAAATAATTAGTAACAGCAAATTTAAATCGTCCACGGAAGGCTGATCTAATAAAAAGAAAGGTAAAGTCTTCCATTCTTTTAGTGTTTTAGTTAAAAAAATTGTACTTATAGGTATTGGTGTTACTACCAATGTTTATTAACTTGCTGCTATGGTAAGAGTGTGTAACACAAGTTAGGCGTGCAATGTATTCTGGAATATTGACCCCGATTTTATTGTTCACTATGTTGTACATGGTGGTAACTTGTGCAATTTTGCATCTCATTTCTAGTGACCCGTTCACTGCAATGTGCACTTCTGACCTGTGACCTGTGTTTTGTGCCTACTGTCTCCTGATGTGGTCACCAGTAGAGATAAACAAATTAATATTTACATGAAGGAAAAAAGAAAAGTTGCACAGGAAAAATAATGTTAATGATAAAGTATTCCATTGTTTTCTTCAGAAAATTGAAAATAAAATCATAAGGGACAACCATAATTCATACTACGTCCATTGCAAAAGTAGACTCTATCTAGTGCGGCTAATTCTGACAGGCAGCTGGACAGGAATTACTTTACTCCAGCCCGCTCATGAACACTTTATCTCTGCGGATTCGCCTAGCTTTCCCAAAACCTCCTGTCTCCTCCAGACCACGGGGATCCACTTTAGCCATTACCATGTAAACTAAATCCCTTGGCACATTCAGACCGTGTATCTCTCGTATTTTCTTATGCATGGCTCTGTAGCCAAGCAGTTTTCCTGGACCTGAAATCTCTTTTTCTACTGCTGCTTCCACGTCATTTACCTCGACATCATAGGTAGTAAATTGAAATGTTCCAAAATACTGCATTCGGCGTGCCAGACTTCTAAGGCTCAAAGCGTACATAGGGTAATCTTTTCTCAAGAAGTCTGCTATTTCCATTCTCTTTAAATTCAGACTGACAAACTTAGCCAGGTCGTTGTTTAAATCATTGTCATCTTCCCAATCGCTGTTTCTAATCCAAGCGTCCGCTATATTGGGTCTAGCACCTGGGAATCAAAATGCATTCTGGTCTATAGCACATCTAGGCCGCAAGCCCTCTTTTTTTTTTAATTATTATTTTATTAAATATATTTTTTTACTATGGCACTCATAGGCCATACTCATTTATTTTATTATTTTTATTTCTTACTATGGCACCCATAGGCCATACTCATTTATTTCCTTTTTTTAAAATTTTATTTTCTTTTTTTGTGTGAATGAGAAAATAATAAAAAGAAATAAAAAATAAATAAAAATATAAAGATAAAAAATAAATAAAATAAAAATTATTCGAAAAAATATAAAAAGAAAAGAAATAAAAAAAATAAAAATAAAAAATAAAAAAATATATAAAAAATAAAGATAACCAGGGTTTGCAAATTTTATTGATGAGTGGAGTCAGTGTGACTTCTGCTTCACAAATTTTGGAGTCATTTTGGAATATTTGGAGTCAAGTACCACAATGAAAAAAGCCATTTTCAGACTTTCCAGCACGCGGTCCTGGCATGTATACACTATCGTGAGGGATACACGAGGTAGCTGTGGCGGTCCGCTGACCTGGAAAGCTCAAATCCATGATGGCGGTCATCGAGTAAACTTTGATCGTAATTTACCTTCTTCCTGTTTTGTCGTGCAGTATAATTCTTTAATTTCGATGATTTAATTAAGGTTTACAACGTTTACAATTAACGTGAATTGTATTTGATGTGAAAAAGGTAAGGACAAAACTGTGCTTGTTACCGCAAATTTCTGGAGTCGAAGTGGCTCCCTGTTTGTTACCGAAAACTTCTGGAGTCGAAGTGACTCCCTCCGTAACCTCCGTGGAGTCATCTGAACAATTTTGGCATAAAATACGCCAAATTTGGCGTATTTGCGAACCCTGGATAACTAATCAATAAAATAAAAATTATTGCAAAAAAAATATTGATTTACTCTCGCTCTACAGCTTTTTCCTATGGCACACATGGGCCACCATAGATTTGTCATCAATTTTAACTGCCGATTTATCATTTGAGTACATGGATATTAAAACGTCCAAGAGACGTCCGTGGACACCTTCTTTTCTTAGTTTGTCAACTAGTTTCTGTCGGAGTATGCATTCAAAGGCTTTTCCAAAGTCGACGAAGCATGAAAAGAGTAAATTTCGCTGCTTCTGTGGTTTAGACTTCAAATACTTGTCAATAAGTGTTTTTAATGTGAAGATGCTATTAACTGTGCCATGCATTTTTCTGAAGCCACGTTGTTCAGCTTTCAAAATTCCTATTTGACCCATGTAGTCATACAGTCGATTGTTGAGGATTGATGTAATGATCTTGCATAGCGCAGAGAGAAAAGTGATACCTCAGTAATTTTCAACTTTGGATCGATCATCCTTCTTATGAATAGGTACAATGAGGCCAAAACTCCAAAGAGCAGGGTATTTTCCAGTATCAAAGATTCAATTAAATAAATTTACTAAATGCTTTTTAATGGCTTCCTTTCCGATTCTTATTACTTCCTTTAATATATTATCGATATCTGGAGATTTGTTTGCCTTCAGTTTGTTAATTGCAGCTGCGAACTCCTCATCAGTTATTGGATAATCAATTGGGCCTTCCACTCTTTTGTTACTGTGGATTTCCATATTCGTCTCCGGATCTAGTATATTATTGAGAGGGGTCGCAGTCTAAAACAGTTCCTACTCACTGCTTCAGCTCCATGATTGTGTTTTTCTTTTTCCTAAGTTAAAGATTTTTCCTATTTGTCGGCAGATCTCTTTGGAGTTCTGCATATCGATATTAGACATGTCTTTGCTGATAGACTCCTGTTTCTTCCGTCTACAAGTTTGTTTGAACCTCTTCTTTTTGTCTCGCAGTAGTTGTCTCAATTCTGAATCATTAATGTTATGAGAAATTTTCTCCCCAAGGAATTGCAAGTTTTCTTTTCCTGTTTTGCATTCCTGATCAAACCATTTTACTTGTGATTTGCATTTAATTTTTCTGCCTCTTGCTTTCCATGTGGCTTCTTTGCATGCTTCCATCAAAGTTTCACTTAGTAATTCAGACACAGTATCGATGCTATCATGTTTGACAGCTGCTACTAACCTGGATTCAACTGTTTCTATCAATAGTGATATGTCTTCCCCTACCGGCCCCGCCGGGAAACACGTGCCGGCTACTTTCTGTTATTCTCCTGCTACCTAAAATCTTTTTGACAACCCTGCAATTTAGCATCGCTGTTTCACATTTATTGTTTGTGCTCTACTATTTAACTGCCTTACCCATCTTGACCAATGGACCCCTGTTAAAATATACCTTGCGATCAATTTGCTGACCCCCCTAAACTCTTTATAAAAAAGTGTAGCCCCCCCCCCCCCCATAGCCAATCTGAAATAGCCTTGACCTCCCCTTCTTTTTTCCCTTCCCCCTCTACATAAAGAATGACCGGTCCCTAATAGTACTTAAAGGCTTAAGCTTATATTTTAAATCCTTCCCTGGACTTTTAACTATCGCCTTAAATAATTGTATGAGCAATGCACTGGTGGGCTAGTACACAGTAACTGTGAGTACTTAAAAGTCCAAGTTGGGGAAGGGAGGGGGGAGAACTCCGGATTTCAAGTAACGGGGCTGATCGAACAGGGACAAAAATCAAAACAAAAAATTCCCTAGGGTTTCCAACAAAATCCCAAAATCCCTTCTTCCTGCAAATGAAAAAAAAATGGGTTTAAAATACAGTGTTCTCCCTAAATTTTAGTTCAGCATGCAGGTAACGTACCATTCATGACCGGTAAGGTAGAAAATATGTGCCAGAGGTGCACTCTCCTGGGGTGTGGGGGTGTTGTGAGGGACATGGTAGGAGCTAAGCTCTCTGAAAGACCATCCTACACTATGCTAATCTGCTGTTGTAGTCTTTAGACAACAATTTTAAAACTTTTTTGATTGCACAAATTTTATTCTGTTGTAAGTGTTATCTTTCCATATAAGTGGGCCATATAAATCTTCAGTGATACCTTAGAGGTGAATAATTGTCTAAAAGTCAGTGGTCTCTCCTTTTTGGATTGCTGCAAATCTGTCTACACTCATTAACAGTCATGGACAGCTAAACTTTCACAGTCATGAAAAGTGACTGGAAAGTATTTTAAGACAAAGAATTTTATTTTGTGCTGAAAACTAACCAGGAAACTAATCATATTGAAGCTTCAAAAGGCTTCACAAAAAGCTTATTACGATATGTTGGTATGGTACTGTTACCTGCTTGGCTTATCTTTTCTTGATTTCCACAGACATAAATGATAGCATCGACTGCTGCAAGATTTGTCAAATGTTTACGTCAATGCAACTGCTTATAACAGCATCCCGCAAAAAAGAAATTGCTAGCCTTCAGTGCTTAGATACAAGATTCCTTTAGAATTCACGAACATTTGGCAAGTTGAATGACATGGAATAAGAGCAATCAATTTTGAAGCAGCATGAATTCACTTTTTGCTCAACGTTTACACCACTGTTGTGGTTATCATAGCTTAAGCTCCCTAATATTTTAATGCCCACTAAGCTAGGTATTAAAACAGAGTTTAGGCAGTGTTTAACAAAACCACATTTTTCAATGTACATGTAAGTCATTCTAAACTTGTCTAACATCCTCACATCGAAACATCATTAGC